CTTAAAGTTGACAATGTGACCTGAGCTTCAGTAGCACATCTATCGTGGAAATGTTCCCATCAGGGAACGCAGTTGGCAGCATGTTATTAGTATCCTGAATTAATATATGCACGCAGATGTACAGCCCTGCATCAGTGTACATGCTTAGCAGCCAATTTTCTATTCATTTAAATGGGAGAAGATTATAATAACGTCACATGTGGCATGTGTGAGAATAATTTACATACTCACCCCCATCCTCACAGTCCCTTCCTCTCCTCCTGCCCTTCATTCCCTGATGTGTAATATTTTCTAAGCCTCTCTGTATCCTTCCACCACTGATAGAAACGTGATGTGATGAAGTTTGGGTTGCTATGGGTTCCATACATGTTTATTTTATGCATCTGAGCCTTTTGTGTATTTTCAATGCCAGTGATTGATTGCTTTCCAGACCAACCTTAATGACCAGGGATGTTGCATAGAATCTGAATCTGCTGGTGTATGAGCATTTCTGTGTTAACATGCATTTTTGTTTGCATGCATAATTCTGCATCTCTCACTGACTGAGACAAAGACGAAGCTGTTAGTGAACGGCTTTTTCTCTTTATTTTTTCTTTCTTTATTTATTTTGCATGCTTGTGGTCTGTATTTTGCATACGTGTGCATGTTTTGTTATTTTTACTCCATGAATGTGTGTGTGTGTGTGTACGTGTACAGGATAGTACAGGTGTGTGTTTCTGTGTTTGACAGAGAATGAGTGCGTGTGTGGTTGAAGGAGTGCTTGTTGAAGCGTGGTTGTCTCATTGAAAAATTTATTCTGAATCGCAGACATGTGGAGGAGTAAATATTTGTCATCTGAGGACAAACATACATCAGTCAGCCATGCTCTAGATTATATATGACAGTGGAAGGAGCTTCTTTTTTTTTCTTACAGATCCCATTTCTGCTTCTTTCCCTGTGTTTAATCACTCCCAGGGTTAATATTGTCAGAGGCTTATTGAAAATATTCCTAACTATACACAAACAATGCTCCTGTTCCCTGAACCCTAAGGCACGTACATTATATTTAGAGTGATTACTAAATAAAGACACTCAGTGTTTTATTATTAAAAGCATGCAGAAAACCACTTGAGCAAACCCAAGCACTCTGAAGGAAAACATCAACCAACAAAGTGGTTGTGACAAATTTGATCTTGGCTTTGTTGTTAATGGCAGCTAAACATGAAATGGTTTAATATTCTGGATAGTAATTTTAATTGAATTAATTTCAGAGGACATTGTAAGGCGCTGATGGTGTCATAAAACACTTGTTATAGCTGCTGTTCATCACTGTGATGTAAATTATGCCCAGTGATTGCTCAATGATGCTTTCCTTCGGGGACATGACGTTGTTAAAAATAAATAAATAAATAAATATAAATATTAAAAAAAAAAAAAAAAGGAAAAAAGAAAATTGTAATTGGCTCCAAAGGGCACACAACGTGCTGGTGCCATGAGGGAGAAACACAAAAGAGGGTTATTTTCTCTCCAGCTATGGTTTTTCTCCCCGCTGACATCCTCATACTGCGGTGCATTCAGCAATTCTGTTCCCTGAGTAGATAATAAGGAGTGAAATTAAAAAATAAATGCTTATTTTACAAATGGCGATAACAAAAGTCGACAGTACGTGGCACATTGACACTAGCAGAGGAGAAGTGAGGAATCATGTGAGGAATTCCATTTCAAGAGGAGACCTGAGATTTGTGTGTGTACAAAGAAAAAAAAGACACCTACTCCTGGAAAATGATACAGTAAGTGACATTAAAGCAAAAATCTTTATGAAATATTGAAGATAGGTGGTAACAAAAGACATTTACAAAGCTGCAACACTTCACAAATCTATTCCTGCATGCTTTTTAAAATGCAGTGGTGAAGACATATAGAGTTACAGCAGTTACAGGAACAACTTTTTTTTTTTTTTCCAGATTTTTAAATATATTTCCAAGTGTTTGACTGCATCATAACCACTTCATCATCTCCTCCTCCTGTGGATATACTCAGTCCCTGACTTGGGAGTGGACGTGGCCAGCTGGACAGATGAGACATGGGCGGATGGGGGGGGGGTGGTTCTGTGTGCTGCAGGAATTCTGCCCTGGACATCATGGCCCAGCACACTGACAGCTGGTGCACCCTTGTTGCGCGTGTGTGTGCGTGTGTGTGCGTGTGTGTGCGTGTGTGTGCGTGTGTGTGTGTGTGTGTGTGTTTGTGTGTGTTTTAGGTCAGTTGAATTGTCTCTCGAGAGAATAGCAGCTGCAGACAAATATCAGGTCGTAACCTGATACATTTATTTTGAAAAGTACAAGAATCGAAATTATTCTCCTTGACTCTTTTCATGTAAATGCAGGAAGCCGCACGGTTCGCGTAACGGTTATTGGGCCCCAGCAACACATCCAGCATGTTGTATCAATTAAGTCATCTTCATTGGCCGAATGATCAACAAGGGAGGCATTTAGCGTCCAGTGTTTGTTGTTTGTGTGTGTACAGAATGATCTGGCAACGGGCTCAGATGCATTTAACAATTAATGGCAGCTTTAGCCAATCACATTCAGTGGAACCTAATGCAGTGCCCGTAGTGCTGCTGTATGTCTATTTGATTTGTGCATTGACCCGCAAGAAGTCTGTTAAGTGGCCGATACTCCCCGTGTGTGCGTGCGTGTGTGTGTGTGTTTGTGTGTGTGTGTGCGTGTGTGTGTGTGTGTGTGTGTGCGCACGTTGACTTTGAAGTACATTGTGTCGTGACAATAATCTGAGCCAATTTACTACGCATCAGTCCTCCATTATGGGTTTGATATAAAGCAGTGCGTGACTAGAATGCCCTTCCCATAAAATGACAATTTATTTCTCTAAAGAAATTACGTGTTTAACCTCATTAACCTAAAGTGCATGTACTAAAATGGAAGACTTACCCCCACCCCTTTTTGACACACACAAGTACACACACAGGCACACACACAAACACAAATTGAAAACATCATCAAAAGTTGAGAGATCATGTTGAATGTGACCCCTGCAAATGAGGAGCCAGCGGCGAGTTAACAACATCAGGAGTTCATCAAGTCGTTCTCACAACTCGTCAGGTGTCTCAGGTGGCTTTGGTTTCGCTCTCTGTTTCAACATCATCTGTTCTCTATGAGATGATTAACCTGGCAGGTGTGAGGTGAGTCTCGCCCACTGTTTTACTGAGCTGTCGTCTTCAGTCTGCGGGAAGTACAGAGGGTCAGCCCAGCCGGCTAATAGCCGTGGTCACAAAGCTGGAAGCCGGCCCATTAGAAGGAGGCACCGTCATTAGGACCAACACACTTTCAAATAACCTGACCTACGTTCCCACGCTGTTTATTAGCAAAGTTTTGGCTCTCAGTTAGAGCAATTATACTCACCGTTCATGATGAACTGTGGCCTTTTCCTCGACACCACGAGATGAGAAACACGCACTCACATACATAGTAAATAATGACAGGCAGTCGTGTTGTCCTGAATAGAGAGCTGCTGTATTAATGACATTTTCTTCTCAGCAAATGTGTTGCAATAATAAAGTGTGCTTGGAAAATGGGGGAAAAAAGTGCAAAGTGTCAGCAAGTGATGTATGTCGTTCATTGGACACAGAACATTTAGTTTTCATTAAGAGTTAAACATGTACACAAAACATTAATGGGGTTCAGCGGCAGCAGCAGTGGCGTGCTTCACTGTATCTCATCCTGATGAATTAGCAACTCAGCACACGGGGTGAAAAAAAAAAAAAAGAATAAAGAGAGACATTAATATAATGTGTGGTGGGGGAGGAACTGACAGATAATGTCTTTATCCAAAGACTGGTGTTTATGACGCAACGTAATATTATCCCTGACCTGGGCATCGACAAGCTGCAAGGATGAACGAAGGCTGTGTGAGGGAGGAGAGGAAGCGAGGAGAAGAAAGGTCAGCACGAGTGTTGCCGTTTCATTATGAGAGATGTGGACTCCCGTCCTCTCCTGCTGCACAGGGAGTGATGGAGAAGGTTGTTAATGCCTGGTCTGTCAGCCATATTGGATTCAGGGCAGTAAATTAATATTACTCTCCTTTTAAAGGGGTTTTATTTTGGGATTTACTGGTCTCCCCTGAGTGCCGGTGGTGTAAAGAGGTTATTTCCCTGTTTCTACTCCGTTCTCTGTCCTCTCACTATCTCTTGCACAAGGCTAATATGTTTAGAGAGAGAAAAACTGTGTTCGCGGAGGAAGGGTGTGTGTGCTGTAGGCTCAATTGTGTCATTCAGCGTTTGTGTCGAACATTTTTCAGCGAGCGTAAAAGTTGGCTGTAAATCGTGGAATTGTCCCCCTGAAGGACAGCTTGTGTATCTCCACACATTAGATATGTGTCTTCCCTCTCCTCTTCTCACGTCTCCTATATGTCATGTGAGATTCTGAAAGAATAAAAATTACATCTTCTCTATTTAAGATGTGAGTTTGAGTTAACTGGCTGTCTAGCTGTCAGTCTTCTCTAACCTATCTGTCTCTCTCCCTTTCTTGCTTAATGTGGGTAAAGTTAGAGTCCTGGTTGAACAGCCATAAAATACAGTGTGGAGTGGCCTAGTCGCCGAGACGGGATTTACGGCCGCCAGTCCATCAGCAGTGATGTTAAAGGGCTGTGATTAAGAGCTGGAGTAAAGACGTGGACTCCACTACCCCTCCGACCCAGCCAAGAGTACACAGGGACAAGCTCTGTCACTGTCAACTCTCCCCCACACAGCTCTGTCTCTCTTTCACTGTGTCTGTCCATCCATCTTTGTCTCTTTCATGTGCATACGTATGAGCTGCATTTCACCAAGGACACTGAATGTCTGCATTAGATACTTGGTGTCAGCTGCGTTTTCACTCAGTCCCCCAGCAGTCACAACAGCGGAGCAGGGAAGGTTCAACTCCTGCCTCATGTCAGCTTGGAAAAATCTGAACGCTTTTTTTATATTTTGCCATCCCTCTAAAATCTCTGCTCCTTTTTATTCTCTGTAGGTTCCGAGCACACCGCCACAGCAACGCTCCCTGCCGCCTTCTCGGACCTGTTACCTCACTTCCTGGTGGAGCCGGAGGACGAGTACATTGTGAAGAACAAGCCGGTGACGCTGACCTGCCGCTCCACCCCGGCCACGCAGATCTACTTCAAGTGCAACGGCGAGTGGGTTCACCAGGATGACCACTTGATTGAGCGGACAGTCGACCCAGCCACAGGTACACGAAGCGAACTCTCCGTTTCCTGAATAATTCATTTCCATTTTATTTTGGCACAAATTTGGCTTCTTCTGGGCATTCTTTCAGCTGTTTTTGGATGTTTGCTGCAGATGTGCGACATGTGCTGCTCCATAGATACATTATGTGAAGTGTTTGCGTGCTGAAACTAAGGTTTGCAATTTGCCAGTGATTACTGTGCTCCATCAGGCTCTTGGCTCATCCTCCAGCCTATTTAGCCTGCCAGTCTCATAATAAGCACATTGGTTTCAGTCTCAGAAATCTTCTCAATCACCTTGGAGACCTGTTTGTTTTTCTCTCTGTTGTGCTGCAATCCCCCGCCTCCGCCATCAGTGTCATAAACATGTATGACACTGATGTGGTGTGATTCAGAAGCGATCTGTGAATTCAAACCACCCATTCACAGCCTGACAACTGATCGGGAAGGAGAAACGTGGGAATGACAGGTTTTCAGTGGCAGCAGGAACACACACACACACACACACACACACACACACACACACACATACATACGTACATGCAAATGCTCACTCAGATTTGCTGCTATACATAACAATATATATACATAAGAAAAAATTATACTGGACTCAACAACTGAGCACAACACAAAAAGACAGACACAGCCGGCAGCTCCTTCACACATACACACAAAAGAACAAGGATGGAAGGTGTTCAAAGCAGGAAAATCTGAAGGCTAATTTGAGCAGGAAATATTTCAATTGATACACACATTTTGCCTCTTTGTTTTCAGATAAAGAGCTCATAGTCCTAACATTTTATCCATCTGGTCTACAGGGTTTGGCACTAACATGCAGCAGCTCAGCACATGTAGGCAAAAAACTGTCTGAAAAAAAAGGTCATGGGATTAACTAAGTGTCAATTCCAGCTGACACTTTTGTAGGTGAAGGTTTCTGATGTAGTTTATGATGAACACAAATATTCTTCTTCTTGAGGCTTTGATTGGTGTGTGTGCTGACTCTCCTGCTCCTGTTCTTTTTTCTTTTTTTTTCTTCTTCTTCTTTTTTTCCCCTCCTAATAAAACAAAAAACAGGATTTTTAAAATTCTCTGCTGCGTGAGTGACTTTGATGCATGGTGAGTGATTTAAGCTTCAGCTCTCTGCGGTACAGGAGCTGTTTCCTTGTACTGCAGAAAGTTAGAAGAGACTCAAATTTGACTGTATTTCCACTGAGTCGAGTTTGTGTCACTATTCTTTGAGCATATTGACTACAAGTGGAGGAAGAACTGAATATACCCTGCATCTTAACTATAGCTCATCATGTCATGTCACAACCGCGCTGTCACTCACACACTGCCTTCAGTTGTTTGATTTGTTTTACCTCGTGTATTAGGCACAGTTTTTTTGGATGCTGGAGTCATCTTGAAGTCAGGCTCTTGTGAATAACAGCAATAAAAGAGTATGAAAAGTTAATTGTAGCTCCTGTTTTGAGAATAGAAAACAAACACTCAAGGGCACGCTTGTGGATTTGGATCATTAAGGAGAAATTGTCAGTGAGTCAAATTTGATCAATTCCCAACACTATCTTCTTTCTTGTGTTGCTTCATTAACAGTTCTGCTCTCACGGTTTCTCATAGTTGTCGAGGGGAGGGATGCAAATTAAAAGTGTTGCCAATATTAACAATCTTTTGAGGGAGAGAAGGGTGTTTGGTTAGTGAACTGTCTTTTAAAGAACTGGTCAAAATCTGCTAGCAACAAATAGATGTAATGCCTTGGTGAGCCATGACACACAGTAAAAGTATATAATTAATGTATAACTTCTCTGTGAGCAAACTTGCACTGAAGTAAGAGGGTTACTGCTTCTTTCTTAAATGTCACATAAAAGAAGAAATCTGGTTTCTGGAATCAGGGCGGGAGATTAGACATTTCTGGTTTCCCCTGGTAAACTTGTCCCGGAGAACATCAATTTTCTCTGCCATGTGTAAGAGAAACCAGGTTTCTTACAGCTTCCTACATGTAAACACGTGACGGATGGACCGCGGACAGGGAAAGCAACAAAGTGGCAGGATGAGAGAAGACACTGTTACACGGAGTGATTTGTTCTCATTTTTTTAAATAAATCCATCAAACGTGCGACTGAAATTGAAAGGATCAGAAAGAAGTCCCTAGAAGTTTAAACAAATGTGTTTGTTGAATGTTTGGTCATTTTTTTAAAACCTAAGACACACTGGTACTGTGAGGGAAAGCTTCACTCAGTCTGCCTGTGTCTATACAGTGTCTTCTAATTAATACAGTTAAAATTAAGTAAAGCATGCTTCCACAATGAGGTTAGAGGTTGGGGAAATCTCTGATATCGGGCTTGCTGTAGGACCAGATTACAAGTGCGTGTAAACACGTTCTCTGATTGCCTGCTTAACCCGTTTTCTCGGAGTAACCTGCTTGTTTAAGTGCATGCAAGCGCACTGATTGTACGACATGTTATTTGCGGCTCTGAATTTTATGCAGCTCGCAAACTGGTGACATTGTGGAGCCGACTGGTGTAACTTTGATACGATGGATATGAATTGCGTTTTGTCAATAGCAAGTTTTGTCAAGAACACGATGTGCCCCATAAACTGCAGAGTTTATGGGAACATCACATTACCAATTCACCGTTGCTCTGCCAACATTTAATGATGATGGACCATTTGCCATGTGGTTATGAGCCGTTATAGTCAGCATTTATTTGTCTATGAAACAAATCTGTCGTGCCGGGTGCCACGGACCCCTGCAGCAGCGAGGGGCTCCGTCTTTACAGACCCTGTGAAGTTCCAAGGCCCCCTCGCAGCTCTCCACATCACTCTGTGGTCCCGCTGCCTTTGATGATGAATGTGTCATATGTGGGGCTGTGCAGTTATGAAGGACACGTGGTTGTCCAGAGGTATGGCTGCTCCGAGGTACCCACATCGATCTCTCAAACATTTGTGCTGTTTAATGTCAGCACTGCCCCGAGGAGTTTACTGATGGCTCCCTCTAATCCCCCTTCCTGCAAAAAACATGTGAGGTGCACACATCAAGCTCCGTGTCTGTGTGTGTCTGTGTGTGTGTGTGTGTGTGTGTGTGTGTGTGTGTGTGCGCGCGCGCATGTGTGTGCAATACAGACTTGTCGGCCTGTCCTCTCACCCTGGTTGTCACAGTCATGCTGGACTCGTACCTGTTGCCAAGCAACCAGGACTTCTGTCACACAAGGAGCTACCCGATATCAACACGATGCCTTAAGGAGGGAGGAGTGAGGAGTTGGGAGATGTACCCAAGTTGACAAAAATTGATTGACAATTTAGACTCGGTGTAACAGTGAAAGATCACCTTCTAAAAATAGCCCATTTCTCCAAGAGATTTTCTACCTGACTGAGCTGTTGTCTCTGCCCATGCTTTGCACCGAGCAGAATCCACACTTGTTTTCTCCAAGAACAAAGACGGAGATGTAAGTACTATGAGCCAATGGGACCAGGCAACAGCAGTCAAAAACCTTCTGAGACATCAGCCCCAGTGTCATTGGCTGGCGTGTTCAAGCTGATTGGGATTCTCATCAAGGATCCTTGTTCCTTTGTTATGTAAATGAAGAGTCAAGCTTTGGATAGCGCTAATGCTCTTAATTCCAATAGTAAAATAATGGAAATGCCATGTAGACACATCAGAGTCAAGAGTCACTGCTGGAGATGATGCACACATTTGTTCTGCTGTCCTTTGTTCAACATGATAATCCTTCTTTTGGTCTTTGATGGATTAGTGGTTCATCAACAATAAAGCACACATACAGTTTCATTAGGCGTGAAGAGGAAGACATCTTAAATCTAAAAGTATGAGTAATTATTATTGGTGTATAATTAGCAGTCCTGCAAAAATGTAAACATTCTTTAGAATTAGGCTTTTGATTTGTCAGTGCATGTAGGAGAGCTAATTATTCACGAGAGGCCAAGGAAAAACAGTGTTGCTGTGAGCTCCACAAGCACTTCTGAGTTTGTCTAATTGCTTTTGAAAAGGTTTCACAAACCCAGGAGCTCAAGGATTATATCAAACTAGTGACAACCAACAACTAAAACATGTCAAAGTAAAATTGGGGGTTGAGATTTATTTACATTTTTTTTCTTTTCTTTTTTTTTTATGGAATCTTTATTTAACCAGTAAAGCCTCATTAGGAATAATAATGTTTCCAGGCCAAGATAGGCAGAAGCAATAATTGATAACATGAATAACATTTCTAAAACGGTTTCTTAAAAGAATTCATCCTGAAAACTATTTAAATCTCACCTTTAAACTAAAAATATAAAAAAATAAAAAATATATTCCGGTATCGATAAAAGGAATTGATAAGCTTTAGGCATACAAATATAAAGGTTCACACAATTTGGAATAGGTTGTCCACTGGAAATGGTTCCTGATCCCCATCACTTCTAAGTACTTGTAAGCACTGCTTTATGGCATTATGAGACTTTTATGTGAATTTTGCTTTAATGCAAAGAAGCCCTTTAATTAACATTACTCAATTCACTGGATTAACTAAAAACAGATATAATTGTTTTGTTTTATAGAAAATATTATTGTATGACAAAACACTCATACCACAGTGTAAAATAACATAATGTGACAGTTGTGTCTATATTGCTAATTTCTAGCCACAAAGTCATATTCACAAGGTTAAGATAAGAAAAGCACACCATACTTTTTTACTTCCTTGAGTGATTATAGAATGCACATCGGATAAATTGCTGCGTGTTAGAAAAGCATTGAGAAACAGACTCCAGACTTCTGTCTGCAACATAAGTTGAAAGTCAAACTAGACTGTTTCCAAATGCACACTTGATAACCAGCGCACTTGAAGCAGCCTTTCGTCAGCTGCTGTGATATTCACGCTGAGGACATCGAGGGATTCCGACAGTCCCAGCGACTTCTGTGCATGTTTTCATGACTTAAGGATATCAAATGGGAAAACAAAACAATCAAAGAGACCACAAGCTGTAATCAATAATCCTTTCACCTTCATGT